GAGGGCTTCCCGGAGGCGGGGGCCGCGGGGCCGCGGACGCGGTCGGTAGGGCCTGGGCGGCAGTTTCGGAAGGCAGACGGACCCTCCGGAGCGGGTGGTCACCCCGGCAGGAGCGGGCACTTACCGAGCACCTTTTAAGCGCCGTCTCGTGTATCCCTCGCGACGTGGGGTGCCATCCCATTAGGTAGGCGAGAAGGCTGAGGTCCGGGCTCGGATGCTGAACGGCCCGAGTGTAAAGTCGGTAATTCAGCAGAGGCCCAGGCCAGGTAACTTCACGGAAGGAACCTCTGAGATGCAAGGAGGGGCTGGGACAACTTCAAAACAGTAGCAGTTATTACAATTTTGTTTTTCAAAATGTAGGAAGCAGATTTTAAATGTTTAAAATTAGAATGCCCGTGTCGTTGGCGATGCTTCTGCGATGCCCTACGCATGGGCATCGCTCCGAAGGCGCTCACTTCGCAGGACGTCGCCGTAGCAGCGGGGCATTTGGGGGTTTTTCTCCAACACTTTCTTCCCCTCATCTTTCTCTGTTCTTTATTACGACTGGATTAAAGCTACTTAATTTGAATGTCATACATGATTTTTCTGTCCCTTTTGTGAAATTTCGGGGTGGCAAAGCTGACAGTCTGCCTCTCATCCTAACAAGATACGCAGAATTTCCATCGAAGACATCTTGGAGCACTCATGGCCTAAAGGGAACAACTCAAAACAAGCTATAATTCCTATAAAGATCACTTTACTATTGCGAACGTCAGCAAATCAAACGTCTACAAACACTAGAATCAATCTTACTTCGGCATAACTTTTGATTTCTTAGTAAACATTAACTCCCAAAGATACATGTTCTTCTAAAGTTGTTTTAATATTCATGTCTACTCTCAGCCTACTTCTTTGCTTATTTAATTGAAGATTCATAATTATTTTAATAGGTAAAATTGACAGTTTACATTTCAATAAAACTATAGCTTATTACTTTAGTAATACAGACCGCTAACATTTACATTTTTTTTAAACACAGTAAACAGTTTACTCCGTTCCGTCTAGGGCGCTTACCGATATTTGAAAACGAACGTTTCCGTACTATGAATCTGAAGGACCTGGCTTGACTGATGAGACGCGATGGTGACCTCTGTGATCCCACACTCATCACACAGGTTCAGGGTTGCCAGAAATGTTGACCTGGTACTCTTCCCTACCTCGTCTCCAAAGGCCAGTGCTGGCTGGCTGTCAGATGTTGGTCACATACAGACACTAAGTTTGGAGCATGCGTGCTGTGACCTTCCGCGGACAGCGCCGCCAGCCCCTTCGTGCCAGGAAGTCAGTGGTCCAGCGTGGTTCTGTTAGTTTTCCCATTCTCATTGTCTTTCTCCACTTCTGCTCCTTCGAAGTGCTTCTTGGTTGAACAGTCTGTAATTTTGCTACACAGTAATTTCTCACGTTTCCTCCATGAGTAAGTTCGCTTTGGTTTCTACGGCCCAACCATAAAGTGTGGTCCTCGGCAGGTAAAACCTGTGAGGTCTGTGCCGAGCTCAGCGGTTACTCCAGTGGGCCGAATGTCCGTTCTGGCAGCTCTGTGCGCACATCAGCTCCTACAAAGTCCCGGGCTTTGCCAGCTGACTCGCTGTGCACAGTACCCGGTGGCGCTTCATTTTCTTTGGACAACTCGGTGGCGGTTAGTTTGCTCCAGAGCTTCCTGGCCCGGCCCACCTACACCGGTCACCGTCCTCCTCGCCCCCACAGAGGCCGAGCAACGTGGTTTTCGGCGTTGTTGAGGGAAACGGCCATTTGTCCACGGGTATATGGCGAGGTGACACAGGCACCAGGACTGGGGAGCAAGTCTTCAGACTCTTGATAGCCAGCACTGGCCGTTCGGGTGAGAAAAGTTGGCCCGTTGGGGAAGGGAGATCGCGTTCTGTTGGCACGGTTTCCTGGTGGAGCCTGTCTTAGTCCCAGACCAAGTTCACGTGCTCCAGAGGCATACGTCTGCATCTTCTTATAAAATAGGGTCACGGGGCTTTTAAATAATCAAGTTTTTCTCATGTTACTTTCCTCTTGTTGCATAGAATGGGATGGAAAAAAGACTTGTTTTTCTGTGGAGCTTTATTTCTTCATTGTTCCTGTCCTTTAAAAAAAGGCATCTAAATGTCCACTGTTGATTATCAGCAGTGAGAACATGACTATCGGGTGAAAAGTGGTGCCAAGCTCTAGAACTAAGAGGTTTTTTCTTTTTAAACACGTACACACTTTAAAATATAAATTGCTTTTTAATTGAAGTGTAATAGACAGATAACGTTATATGTTTCTGGTGTACAACATAATGATTCAATATTTGTATGTTGCCAAATGATCACCACAATAAGTTACCATCCGTTACCATCCATAGTTAAAAATGTATTTTTTCTTGTGATGAGAACTTTTAAGATCTCTTAGCAACTTTCAAATAGTCAATACAATATTGTTAAGTACAGTTAACCTTAAGTACAGGATTCTGGAGAGTAGGTCCTTTAGAAAGGACAGATGTGGCTGTGGTTTTGGCTGATTGACTCACGCGTCTGATTCTGTGACTCTCCTTCCTTTCCGGTCCATGGTATTCTGATTCCCAGGTACCAGTCTGCAAAGGCTGCCGTGACAAAATGCCACAGGCGAGCAGCCTGAACAACAGACATTCGTTTTCTCACAGTTCCGGAGGCTGGAAGCCTGACACTAAGGTGTCAGCAGCATTGGTTTCTTCTGAGGCCTGTCCCCGTGGCTGTAGACGGCCGTTGTCTGCGGTCCTGCCCGCACCCCCACTCCGACCTCTCTCTTCTCATAAGGACACCAGTCGCAGTGGGTCAGGGCCCATCCTGACAACTCCCTTTAAAGGCTCCATCACACTGCGAGGTGCTGGGCGGGGTGGGGACCGAGTGCCTGCCACTCGGGGTGCAGTGTCCTTCCCTGGGAGACGGAGCAGTTGCAGTGAACGCGGGAAGAAGCAGGACCTGTGGTTCTCAGCGTCGTTTCCCCTCTGCAGGTACTGGGCCAACTTAAAGTTATGGTTCAAGCAGAAAATCAGCAAAGAGGAGTTCGACCTGGAAGCCCACAGACTTCTCACTCAGGACAACGGTAAATAGCAGCCGGGGCGTCACTTCCTGTTCTGCAGTGCTCCCAGACTTGTGCTAAATTGAAGTCTTTTCACTTAAAGAAATAAAAGCTTGGTTTTAATGGCGTGTAACGTCATTTTGCTAATGCGGATATTTACAGCGAAGTGTACCGAGCGGGGGGTATCCAAACTCCTTAAGAGCGGGGCTCAGGAACGAGCGGCTTCCCTCCTTGTCAGTGTCTGTACTTGACTGTGGCGTTCTTCCCTTTTCCAGTCCATTCCCACAATGATTTCCTCCTGGCTATCCTCACGCGGTGTCAGATTTTGGTGTCCACACCAGGTAAGGGCGCGGAAGAACCCGCGGTGCCGGTCGGCAGAGCTGCCGACTGCAGCAGACTCTGCGCTGTCTGTGCATGCAACGCTATTTGGACGGCTCGAGGGGAAACGTTATGATGTGGGTACAGATTCTCTTACAGAACCTGTTAGAGCAGGTGATTCCCAGGACTTACACTGACTGTCGGTCTCGACGCGCCACTCAGCTGGCTTTTGGAGCCTGAAGTCATGAGGAGTGAGGCGGGGTGGGGGTCAGGAGAACACGGAGGGGCTGGTGTTGGGGGAGGGTTTGCCAGAGGGAGGGTCGGGAGCCCCCGTCTCATTTCCCAGCCTGCCGGTAGGTCCTCGGTATTGGTTAGGCAGCCGGGCTGCAGCCGGCACGTGTGAGTCAGAACGTTTTCAGCCCGTCCTTGAAGTTCGTTGAGCGCTCATCCTGTCTGCCACACACGTTCTTGCTGTCTCTGTTGTGCGTGTGTGCCCCTTTGCTCTGCGACCACTCTTAGTGGGGTCTTGGAAGAGAGAGGAGGCGAGTACACAGGTCAGTTCTCCGTGTTGAACCGGAAAATCCTGTCCCCGCTTTATCGCGTTGCTCACCCGATAAGCCAGCAAAGCACCCAGCAAACATTAACTGAGAATACGAGAGACAAATTTGTCTTTCTAAAAAAATAATTTTGGTTACAGCTAGAAAACCACGATTTGAGAGAATTTATGATTTTGTTTAGAGAGCTTAGAGAAATAGAAAGATCTGAATTTAAGTATGTATTATTTACTTTCATTACTTGAGCGTTCCATACTTTTTTAGCTCAAAATGAAAACAACTTAGCAGTTATCAATTATCACTGTTTTTTTTAATCTCCTAGAGGGTGCTGGATCTTTGCCCTGGACAGGGGGTTCTGCAGCCAAGCCGGGGAAACCCAAGGGAAAGAAAAAGCTTTCTTCGGTTCGTCAGAAATTTGATGTAGGTTGTTCTTCAGTGCGTCTTGGTAATGAGCGATTACGTGCTGGTGTGAGGGGCCGCCTTGTTTCTGGGTCGTTAGTAAATACTGGTGGTGGGGTTGGAAAAAGAGGGGGCATCATTTGAGGGGAAAAGGTGTTACTGTTTGTGAAGGGGTGAGGTTTTCAAAGACTGTGAGTCCAGGTGCCTGTGTTTTTGTAATTCTAGTTCGTTGTTTTGTAAATAGTAATGTTGTTAGTGCCCAGTGATCTTTCAGCGATTTAAATCTATGCCTGTGTTCTTTCCCCTCCTCGCTGTTTTTCTGGAACGAATCGCGTTTCCCAGATTGACTTCTGTCCCGGGGTCCAAGAGGCCTGCAGCACCCAGCTGGGCCCCGAGCCCCGCCCCCTCCCTCGGGGTTAGCAGAGAAGCTGGAAAGGCACTTGGCTGTAAAATTTGTAAACACTTTAGCGTAACTGGCTTTTCCTAGTTTATATCTAGGGAACAAAGTATCCCAAAAGTATCCCTTTTATAGATTTTTGGCTGGGTATTGATAGCTTCATTCATTAAGATCAACAAACATTTATTCCTACCTTTGTGCTATGCTTTATATCAAGAATATTCAGTCTGCAGGGCATCAGCATCTCCAGACAGGTTTAAATGGGCATGTTTGACATAAAATGCAGCTTTATACCTGGAAAATGGAAAAACGATAAGCGTTGCTGTTATAGTACAAACTTCCGACAGGGACGAGCCATACTCGCTACAGAATCTTGTATGTCGGGCTCGAGCAGAGGCCACCGGGGCGTCTCCCCGGATTGTGGAGGCTGTAAACGGGCCGTCACCCTTCTCCAGCGGAAGGCTGAGGTTTTAGGCTTGGAAAAAGACTGAGAAAAACGGTCTAAAATGATTAGTGTGACTGCGTCTTAGAAAGGTTCTGTGTTGAGAATCGTAAATAGAGAATGCTAGTAAACAAGTAGTCACCCCACACAACACTCTCTTGGAGTATTTGTTTTTATATCTGTTATTTTGGTTACTTGGGCTTTTTAGGGCTTCACCGAAGCATTTGTTATATAGTTAAACTTTCAGAAGCTGTTTACTTACCAATATACTTAACGTGCTCTGACTTGCTTGAAAATAGTTTTTTATTTTCTCCTTCTCCCTAATTGTTACTTTTAGCACAGAGCCATCTATTCTGTGATTACCAAGATGCTAACTGATTAGAATAAACTGCTCCGCGAACCACCTTTACTCCCCTAATTCGTGTCTTCGTTGTTTCCATGACATGGGTGTGACTCTGAGACGATTTGTGCATGAATTGCTTTTTTTTTTTGACCCCAGTGGCGTGGTTCGGGTGGCATTAACGTGTGGGCTCGCGAGTCCAGTACATTGGTTACTTTTGCTCGTGTCTTATTCCTCGCCACTGTCATGAATAATTTTGAAAAGTTTCCTTACTCGTAGCATAGATTCCAGCCTCAAAATCCCCTCTCGGGAGCCCAGCAGTTTGTGGCAAAGGACCCCCAGGATGACGATGACTTGAAACTGTGCTCGCACACAATGATGCTTCCCACACGGGGCCAGCTGGAAGGGCGGATGATCGTGACGGCTTACGAGCACGGGCTGGACAACGTCACCGAGGAGGCCGTGTCAGCCGTGGTCTACGCGGTGGAGGTTAGTTAGTGTGCCGGTGGCAGGGGCGACTTCACCGAGAGCGTGCGACGAGCTCGTGTGGCTCAAAGTTGGTGCTGCAAGGAAAGGGCCGAAATGTCCCCCCGACCTCGGGGCGGTCGTCACCGATGACGTTTTCTCCCGGGGGAGAACCACGCCACATGCCACACAGTTGCCCTCGTTAACGACGAAGCTTTTGGAAACGTTACCTGGGGCGTAACACTTGCGCTCAACGTGACGTGTGATCCGTCAGCAAGGGCGCATCTTTTAAGGGGAAAGAAATGAGATCGAGGACCCTAAGGGTTTGAAATCTCTAGGTTTTGCTGTCCGTTGGGCGTTGGAAGAGCACCAGAGTTGGCGTCTCAACACGCTTTCGCCCACCCTCTCGTCTCTTCATTTTGTTATTTGACAAAGTGCACATGGCGTCTGTGGTGCACAGGTGCCGTCAGGTGACCCCGCGTCACGTTCCCGTCTCTGGGGCTCCGTGTCCTCACCCGGGCCTCCACGGTCCTAATTTGCAAACATTAAGTGAATTCTTTGTGGAAGTGATAAATTGCACCGTGAAGTCCTGATACGAGATAATCTTAATGTGATTGAAACACGACCCCCAACCTGCCCCGTTGCTGACGAGAGGCTGGGACCCATTCTGCCTGTTTTCACAGACATTCTCCAGCCCGCTCCTATGTATTTGGTTCTCAGAAAGCCGAAGGGATCTTAAATACCTAATTTTTTGTTTATTTCCTGTATTTGTGTTGTTCACGTGGCTTCTGAGAACCAAGCTTCTTTTCAGGCAAGGATTTCATTAGTGTGGACGATAGAACCAGTAAAGCCCAGCTCTTGAAACTTTCTTGTTTTCAACCATGTTTCAAGGTGGTTTGCTGCTTTTTAAAAGAGTATTTATTTTTTTGTGTCGTCATTTAAAGGTATCTGAAAATTATTTTGGAGAGAGGAGCCCATTTAGAGATATAAAAACTCTCATTTTATGTGGAACAAGCTCATCTGAAACAGAACTAAGTAGAAAGAGCATCTCCCTCCTTCCCTCACGCGTCTGGCCTGGCTCTGGGGCTCTTTAGAGGACATCGATTTGGTGCCAGCACGTGCCAGCCTGTCCCGCGTCTCTATCACTAAATGCCAGTAAACATGGTCGGGTCACTGGAAGTTTTATGATTTGCATTTAAAGAGGAGTTCATGCTATTTTCCCTTTTTTTTTTCCTTGTTTTTACAGAATCACCTTAAAGATATATTGACATCAGTTGTGTCAAGAAGGAAAGCGTATCGGTTACGTGACGGTCATTTTAAATATGCCTTTGGCAGTAACGTGACCCCGCAGCCATACCTGAAGAATAGTGTAGTAGCTTACAACAGCTTGATAGAAAGGTACTGAAGTTTCTCGTGACCTTGCGTCTGTCCTGGTCGGTCGCGCTGTTCCCTGTGGCCTGTCACGTCGCTGGTCCTCGCGTCTCTGAGTCCGAGGTGCCCCTGAGAGCAGCAGTTTCTTTTCTTTGCACCTTTGCACGATAACGAGCGGATCCTTTGGGCTCCCCTTACGGCGGAAGCGACGCTGCAGAGGTCGGCTGCCGCGTGTGGTCTCCTGCGATGTCCCCACTCCCTGAGGTGGGATGGGGTGGTCCCCCGGCTCCTGAGGGGCGGCCCTTGCGGGTGGAACAGCGGCCCTGCTCAGAAAGCGGGCCTGGGGTGACCAGGCGGGCCAGGCTTCACGGTGTTGGGAGGGGCAGTGGTAGCCAGTCTCCCGGCTCTCGGCACCTTCTGTAGCTGTGGCTCGCGAGGGTGGCCTGTGCTGGGTGCTGGCAGCTTGCTCCTGGCACCCTGCTGTGCACACCTCCCGGGACCGCTGTAATGTCCCCTGTCACCTTGTGTGACACAGCCTGGATTCCCTATGTGCTGCCTGTGTCCACCCCTCCCCCTCCCTGTCCTCTTCCCTCCCAAAAAATATGTCCAAATTTTAAGCCTTTGGGTAAGAAAAATACTGCTCTTTTCCTCATGGTGACTGAGTGACTGGTGTCTCTGGGCCGCGTGTGTCTGGTTGTCTGGTTAGCTGGGGAGACCGGGTAAAGAGTGACCGGAAGTCACGAGTTCAGTGGTGAGAGTGACCGGGAGCCTGGCGGGAGTCGGGGGGGAGGGGCAGCAGTGCGTGTGATCACCAGGGCTGAAGGGCTGGGAGGTGGTGTGGACACCGCAGGGAGGGCTGAGGCAGGCCGGACGCCGGCCTCTGAAGCCCACCCCCACGAGCCCGTACCCACGAGCAGCCACTAGGTCCCCGAGGTGAAGGCCTCTCCCCGGTCCCTTGCAGGCGTGTCTGCCGGGGTCATTGGTTCTCATTTGTAAGTCGTTCTTCTCTAGAGAAAAACAAACCAGAAAGAGTGAGTGGCTCCTTGCAGTGGGGAACGTGGGGACAGCGTCTCCAACCTCCCAGCCTCCTGTGCCCTGCGGCCAGCGCCCGCTTCTGGGACAGGCCCGCCTTTGTCGCCGACGGCAGGCCCAGGCCCCCTTCCGCCTCGCTGCTCCTCGCGGCCGCCTCACCTGCCGCCTCACCTGCCGCGTGCCCTTCCAGACCCTGTCCTGGATTACTGTGTCTGACCCCGCCGGGCGCTACGTCGGGGTCCCATTCCCGGAGCTCGGCGGGTCCGACTCACCTTCTCCCCGCTCCATTCCTGCCGTGGCCTCCCTTGTGCCGTGTCGTCTCTTCTGGCTCATTATCTTTGATAACGATTTCCGTTTCCTTCAAGTAAGGTCTATTATGCTTTCAACTGGACGCTCCCCAGGGCAGGAGACCGTTCGGTCAGTGTCCCGAGCGTGGTGACGGTTGAGGTTGGGGGGCAGGTCAACGTAGCCGCTCTGCGTTTGTTCCCCGCCTGACCTGTGGGCCGCCTTCAACAGCGGGAACGGCAGCCTCCCCACGTCTGCGCCCGCTCAGAAACGGGGCTTTCTGCTTCATTTTAAGGCGCTTTTCCTGAGGCGGGGTCTCGCAGCCCGTCCCCGTTGGAGCCGCTCAGCCATCGCCTCTAAAATTCTCTGTTTTCAGCCCTCCAGCCTTCTCTGCGCCCTGTGCTGGCCAGAACCCGGCCTCCCACCCGCCCCCCGACGACGCCGAGCAGCAGGCGGCCCTCCTGCTGGCCTGCTCTGGGGACACCCTCCCTGCGTCCTTGCCTCCCGTGAACATGTCCGACCTCTTCGAGGCTTTGCAGGTAACTCAGCCGTGTCCGGCTCACCCGGGTTTCGGCCGGGCCCGAGTCTGCTCGGCCGCAGAGGCGGTCAGTGGCGCTTCCTCTTCAGCTCATCGTTGGCTCTTGAGGCCGGTCGTCCTAGCCTCGTTTTCCAGACCCGGCCCAGGAGACCTTCTGACGTGTGCCCCCACCTCCCTCGTCCCCCCAGAAAGAAGGGAAAGGAAAGGAAGCTCCTCGCTTTCTCGTTCCTGTTTCAGAACCTCGTTTCCGGTTTTCTCGTTAGCTGCTCTGGGGTTCGGTGTGCCCTGGTTTAGTTTCTCGGTCTGTGTGTCTTTCCCGTGTTTTGTTGACCTTCTGCGTATTGCAAACGTGTCCTGAGGCTTCACGCGTGCTCACGTTCTCACCGCAGGTGCACAGGGAGGTCATCCCCACGCACACCGTGTACGCGCTCAACATCGAAAGGGTCATCATGAAGCTCTGGCATCCGAACCACGAGGAGCTGCAGCAGGACAAGGTCCACCGCCAGCGCCTGGCAGCCAAGGAGGGGCTCCTGCTCTGCTGAGCCGGGCTCTGGGCGTGCGGCCCCCGGCAGGTTAGCCACTGAGAGTAGGCTGTTTGGGGAACACCGAGGTGACTGGTATAAACAGAACCCTTCCTGTGGAAATGCGACGTCGAACGCTTGGCCTTCGCTGCTGTGAAGCCACCGATGCACTCGGGTTCGGACAGTGACCCATGTCCGCATCGCACGCGTGTGTTCTCGCTTCGGGGAGCAGAACGGGCCCTGACAGAACCTCCTGGAGCGGAGACGTTCGGGCCCCTGAGGGTCGGTGTCCTGTGGTCTGCACGTGAGGCAGGTGACGTCCCAGAACACAGCAGCTCTAAGAACTTCATCCCCGTGGTCACAGGACATCCGTGGGTTTAGCGACGTCCTATGTTCTGTATCCGGCAAGTCTCAGTTTCTGCCTTTCTCCTGAAGAACTGTGTCCTTATATTTTGGTTGAAGCAACCCTCAGTGTTAAAAATCAGATACCTCCTTCAATGACCTGTTTAATTTTGAACAGATTTAGGTATCTCCCTAAAAATCCATTACAGTTTCATAGAAAACATGACTTAGAAACACTGTGCTATTAAAGTCCTTTTCTTTGCATTAAAAAATATCGAAACAAAATTCTTGGAATGTAATTAATAACCTTATAAAATGTCTTCTCGTAACTCGTTTCTGTCATAGAGTGAATGTGCCCAAAGACTTTGATCCCCAGGTTCATCTGTTGATTATTCTTGTAGAATGTTTTAAGAAGTCCATGTGAACGTGTTGCATTTATATTTGGTAATTGCCGATTCCTATGAAATATGTTTCTCCCCTTTCAAATGATAAAGCGAAAATGATTTATGTTTGGCAGTGTTACTAAGAACCAAGTTTGTTTCTTTAAAGATAATGTTACTTTTCACTTAAGAGAGTGCTGGTGGGTTTGCAGTTGACCCTTGAACAGCGCATGGGTTAGGGGTGTCGACCCCAGGCGAGGTCCAACCGTGTATAACTTGACTCCTCAAAAACTTAGTTGTCCCCCTGTATCTGCAGGGGATTGGCTCCAGGAGCTCCCACTGATACAAACCCCATGGATGCCCGAGTCCCCTGTCACGTGGTGTAGAACAAGGCATGCAGCTGGCCCTGCGTGGCCTCGGACTCCTGACCGCCAGCCAAGACCGGTGCCGCGTAGAAAAGTCCACGTAGAAGTGGACCCACCAACTCGAACCCGCGTTATTCCAGGGTCACCGTGCTAGCGTGGTCTTCTGTAGCTTGAATAACATGTATAAAGCTGTACAAATGGTTCGGTATCTGGATCTGTGTATTTGATTTTGTACTTTAAATGTGACAAATAAACCTTTTGGGGGAAACCTTTATTAAACAGATAATGAATGCCGCCTTCTACAGTGGAAAGCCATATACGCCATGAGACCTTAGCAGAGATGTCTCAAAAGAATGTACTAGATGAGAAAGATTAAAATAAGGCATGTCATCTCTTCCTTTTGTGACCTGTAGGTTAAGACTTAAAAAGAGAAAACCAACAGCTTAGTTTCGGTTGCTGACACAGGCCCTGCAGAGTTGCAGACGCGATAATACTCGAGATGTGAGTTTGGAAGGGTTTGAAGCAGTATCTCACCCAATGCAGTGGTTTTTTGGGGGGGCACTAACACTGTGTACGTTGAATTCTGTGCGTTCCACTGACGCAGAGGCAGTTGGGGGCCCTGGCCAGGTCCTGGTGCCCTCACAAGGGCAAGTTCTGTCCGGGTCCAAACAAACTCCTCCTGGCTTTCTAGGACTGGCCTTGGCTCCTGCAGCCACCTGCTCAGGAGGGACCACAGGACATCAGCAGACTCCCCTGGCCTCATGTTTCGGGCCCACACTCTAAGGACGGGCAGGCAGGTAGGGTGATTCTCGGGGGGTTTTCAGGAGCCCCCGAAAGAGGCCTGACACCTCTGCCCCACCGAAGGCGGGTTCTAGCTTCGGCCCCCTGGGTTCACGTTTGATCCGATGGCTTAAAAGGGGGAATGTCCAGATTGTCTCTAGTACTTATTTAATTGAATCTGTGGACACGGTGAATTGTCAGGGATAATTTTACTAAAAGCACACCGTGAAAGGGCACATGGGTTCATCACGCTTCCATGTTTAAAGAAATTTATGAAAACGGGGATACTAAGTTTTCTGTTCACCAACATGCTAGCGTGTTTTCACTCATTTAAGATGAATACCCCCTTTATGGATTTCAGTAACGGACCATCCCTGACAGTATCCAAAAGGTGACTGACTGAAGAAAAAGCAATTGATGCCAGCCCTCCCCACCCCGCCCCCCGCAAAAGCCCGTTTAAAACCACACACACCATTTTTCTTCTCTGTCATCAAAAACATCATTACACACATGGCCATCCCATGAACACTTCTTTTGATTCAAGGGTGTACTATATCGGTAGATGGAGAATAAAGTGTCAACGATAATGAAACGTGACCTCCTCACGCGAGCAGGTAAATAGTAAAACCACCATAGCCTATGGTCTTTATTATGAAAGTTTATTGTTGGGATCAGTTCCTATCTACTGGGGGTACAGCTCTGTCTCTGCTGGAGCAATTCTAGGGTAACAGCCATGCTGCGGGACGGCTGGACGGGGCTCTGTTAGGCATAGGTCATACTGAAGTCAGTGGAAGGAAGAGCCCAGAACAGCCCTGACAGCGGAGCCGTTGCTCTGAGTTCCAGTGCTATGCAGCCTGTAAGGCATCATCTGTCAGCGGACGGGGAGACTCGAGGTGTCGGTGGAATGATCAGTTTAGCCCGTTTTCTACCTTCTCTGCACGGTGACTATGGCTCCAAGGCAGGAACCCAGAATTCGGTCTCATAAAATCCTTCGAGCTCCCAAAGCAAGTAAAACAGGACATAAAGAAGGTGCCAGGAACCAGGAGAAGAGAGGATAAATTAAGTGGAATTGTCAGGAATGGAAACTTCTGGAATGCAAAGGAGCTGGGTTTAGATGCCATTTGAAATGACCAAGAATACAGTACAGTTTGTAAGTAGGGAAACAATTCAAATATTGAAAGTTATTCCGAAACCAGAAACGAAGTAAATTTCCCCACCTGGGAGGAAAACTGGTTTTAAAAAGCTGAGAAAGGTGAATGACTAAGAGGAAAATGAGTACCTGAGTAGAAATAGGTGTTTCAAGATGCCGAGAACAGGATCATACAAATGAGCTGAGTCTACAAGAAGGAAGTGAAAGCCTGTTACCAGATTTGACATTGGAATGACATTTCCAGCAGTGGCCGTGTCGGTGAGGCTCTGGCATGTTTTCTGTAGTGAACGTAGCTTTGAGAGAATGTTTTCATAACACTCGACTTATGTGGGAATGCAAATCACTATAGTGTAAAAACTCAGAGACCTCCTCCCACCTATTCCTGCAGGGCAGAAGGAGACCAGAAGTCTACAAATGGCTGTGGCCGAAGGCCCAAGCCGCCACACCACCCTTGTGATAAAAATATTGAAAGATACTAACAAGACAAGTGTCAGAGGGAGGAGTCAGTGAGCCTTGTACCATGTGGCAGCAGATAAGTGACCCTGACTCCTGTAGGCAGCCTGAGAAACAAGAGCTTGTGTGCTAACTGCTGCCCTAGCCTTAAATACAATAATCATCATCGTGAAAAATAGGGCCATTGAATGAGACCCGACAGAAGTCTAGCTGCCAACCAGGCTGGGAAGATAAATCAGCCAGCAGTTTATTTTCACCTGCCTCTTCCCCACTAACCTAGTCTGTCTAGAGAAAAGCCATCTGCTGGCACCAGGCCAGTGTCTGAATTCTGTTATCATTAGTATCTCATTTTTTCTAAAAGAGGAAATGTGTAAGTAGCAGGTAGACGTAAATGACATGTTTCTACAAAGCCTGCTCTGCAGTCTTCACCTGCTGGGACAGGCTCTACTCTTGGAAGCATTTTTAAAGGCAGAAGAAAACAATGACTTGAGGTCTAGCCACAGAAGGGACACCAGTGCGGTGGCACCCATATGTGTGACGAGCCTCCTGTTGGTGCTGAACGAGCGGTCTCTTCCCCAGGAAATGCCTCTGTCCATCATATTTACACGTTTCTTCTGATGGACACATGGGGTCACGTCTCCAAGAAACGGGGCAGAAGCAGTTTCTTCCCTAATCACGTCTCTGACGAGATGAAGGGTCCCAGGCGTTTCTGACACGTCGTGGACGTGGGGCGGGGTGGGCGCCCCCCCGCCCTGCTCCCTGTGCACCCACACGTGGAGGAATCTTCCTGAGGGTCCTCCCCGGCTGCTTCCAACAGTTCCATTCGCTGGAAAACAGAGAGAACTAAGTGTGAATCGGCCCCGGCATTTTAGATGGCGTGTGTGTGACCGAAGGAGCATTGTGGTCCCATCACTCGGGTTTCCAAAGAGATGAGAAGCGGCCCGGAGTCTCCCGACTGTCCCGTCCACTCAGAGTCCCTATGTACCGCCATCGCTCGCTCAGCCCAGGAGAGGGCGCGGTCCAGGTGAGCGGGGACTGCGTGGGCGGCACCGAGGGCAGGCCCCGCCCCACAGCGCGCCCGAGCACAGGCCGCCTGGTTCCCTCTCCTCTCCCGGCGGTTTTCGATCCAGTCTTCTGGGTAGCAAATGGCTTAGAAAATTAAAAATGCACAAAAACAGGACCTGACAGAGAGGAAGGAAGACAAAAGGTAAAATGAGAAAAGGTTAGAACTCGCTGTCGGTCGGTCTGATCCCACCAGAGGCGGCAGAACGGTGAGGAGGGAAGGGGGGCCGACGGGGCAGAGAACGTGGGGGGGAAGCGATGTGGGGGATTCTGACTGTAACAGCAAGAACTGGGCTCCACTGTGATGCCACGGCTCCCCCAACTACGGCGGGATGTCAGCCCTGAAGTCGCACATCATGGGGGGGTGACAGAGGGCTTCTATCAGCTCGTCATTTGGAGAAAAGCAAAGGAGGGAAACGCCCAATGACACCGTAGAAGGAAGTTTAGTGGAAACAGTTTTGGGTCCTCTGTCAAAAGGAACCTCTTCATAGTAAAGTGTCTGGACGGGCGAGTCAATTAATTGACAGAGAAACGAGAAGGTAAAATGAATTGCTTGTTCCTTCTGTGTGTCTCCCCCGAGGGGATCCTGCACGAGGCCGCTCTCTCAAGGTGTGGGATGTGGGGGCGACTCTGGGCTCCTTCCACTAGTGTGTTTTAGTCCCCAGTGCCCCACTGCCACTTAGCTGTTCCTCTTCTATACTCAGCTCTGAACATTCAAGCCAGCCGTCCTCAGCCCACTGCAGGCCTAGACAGGCACCCCGTTTTATTATTACCACTTATTTCGATGCAAAGATTCAATTTAACCAGATATCTGAGGACTACGAGAAATTATTATAATCGCTCACTCCACGTGAAGGTCATTTTGAGAGTAAGATGATGTTTTAAAACACAAAAATTCCTAGGGAAAAGCAAGCATAAGCTATTACTTTCATTTCCCAGTGGGCCACTGCAGAGCGCCCCAGGGCAGAGCTGAGGCCCGGGAGACACGGCCCGAAGCCAGCGAACGTGAGCACAGCGGCCCCGAGTGGGTCAGTCCCCATGGCGGCCCAAGTGGCCGGCCCGACTTACGAGGAAAAGCAGACGCCACTTTGTTAACTGGGCACACTGCGCTCCCTCAGACCCCAGCAATCTCGGCACCCCGGCACAGCCCGGCGTCCCGGCAGCTCACCCCGGTCCACCGCGTGTGTGACACACAAGGGCCCCTGGGTCCAGGCCACCACGGAAGGTACCCGCAAGCCAAGCAACGGAGGCTTCACGAGAAGGCGGGGCCGGTGGCCTGTGACCTACGACACTGCCTTGGGCTCCCAGGGACCCTAAGAGGAGGCTGGCAAGACGAAAGGCAGCCGGGGACACAGGTCGCGCCGGGCGGTCCCCTTACCGTCCCTTCAGTGGCTCTCGGTCATGCTCTCGGCGTCACACTCTTTGGGCGGCTCCCCTCCCCCTGGCAACTCGCTCTCGATCTCCCACAGGACGTCGTCTTCGTCTTCCAAGGCGCTGGAGATGTGGCACTTCTTGAAGCCCTGGACGATGGAGTCGCTGGAGATGCTGTTCCACGCGACCATGACCCACTCCAGAAAGAGGCCGAGGGGCGGCTTCTTGGCGTTGCCGGTGGGGCTCAGCGCCAGGTTGCCGGCCAGCAGCCAGCTGGAGTACTGTGCCCGCACGCTGTCGTTGAGCGGCTTGTACACCACCACGTCCAGCACCTGCAGCTGCGAGGTCAGGCCACCAGGGATGACCACCATGTCGGTGTCCATGCTGGCCATGGAGCTCTTCACCGCGTCGGTGGCGTGGCCGCGGAAGCCGTTGACGATCAGCAGGCCCCGCTGCTCGGGCAGCGCGCCCGCCCGCCGCCGCCACACCACCTCCAGCCAGTCCTGCATCAGGTCCTCGGTCATCCAGCCGTATCGGTGGCAGCGGATCTCCATGCCGCTGGGGAACTTGCCGGGCGGGATGTACGTGCCCCGCAGGACGATGTAGGGGGGCAGCTTGCGGCCGTCGGCCAGCACCCCGAGCATCGCCGTGATCTTCAGCTTCTCCCGGCCGGGCGTCTTGACCAGCACGGGCTTCTCCCCCTGGTTGTCCACAGTCACCCTGGACGGCACCTCCAGGCAGATGGGCGTCTCGTCGGCGTTCCCCATCTGGGCCACCTGGTAGTCATGCGCCCGGCGCAGAGCCAGCACGCTGCGCTGGTAGGTGACCAGCTTCTCCGTCAGGTCCTCGGGCAGCTGCTGGGGCACCGGGACCTTGTGCCTCAAGGACAGGTCGTACCTGCGCATCATCCTCCGGCACCAGCCCAGGCTGGCCTTGAAGCCCTTCTCGGGGATGTTCATCTCCTGCGCGATCTCCAGCGCCTTCAGCTGCATGGCCTCCCTGGTGATGGGGTCGCCCTTGGCCTGCATGTAGCGCACGTACTCGGCCACGCGCTGGTCCACCAGGGCGAAGCGCCCGTTCTTGGGCCCGCGGAAGGCGCGCCGCATGGCGTGGGCGTTCTGCAGCTGCGGCTTCACCTTGCGCCAGTCGCGGACGTTCTTCTCCAGCACGCCGAACTGCTTGGCCGCCTGGCAGTTGTTGGTGCTCTCGGCGAACTCCACCACCATCAGCTTGAAGCCCGCGTCGTAGCTGCGGCGCATCCCGCGGCTGAACTGGAACTTGGCGGCCAGGTCGTCGGCCGCGAGGTCGTAGCCCGGGAAGCCCATGGCCATGTAGAAGGGGTACCCCTCGCTCCACTCGGGCAGCTCGGCGATGTCGCGGGGCAGGCGGAGGCCGA